CCTCCTCCTCCCTCCTTCCTCCTCCTTCCTCCTCCCGTCCTCCTCCTCCTCCTCCTCCTCCTCCTCCTCCTCCTGCTCCTGCTCCTGCTCCTCCTCCTCCTCCTCCTCCTCCTCCTCCTCCTCCTCCTCCTCCTCCCTCTCCTCCTCCTCTCCTCCTCCATCTCCTCCCTCTCCTCCTCCTCCTCCTCCTCCTCCTCCTCCTCCTCCTCCCTCCTCCTCCTCCTACTGCTCCTCCTCCTCCTCCTCCTGCTCCTCCTCATCCTTCTCCTCCTCCTCCTCTCCTCCTCCTCCTCCTGCTCCTCCCCCTCCTGTCCTCCTCCTCCTCCTCCTCCTCTTCCTCCTCCTCCTCCCTCCTCCCCCCCTCCTCCTCGAGTCCATATTCTTCTCCTCCTCCTCCGCCTCCTCCTCCTTCTCCTCCTCCGTCTTGTTGGATCTTGCGACTCGGTGCTTATCGACGCAAAGCGACTCTAAGATGACGCTGAGCGACGCCACATCGGCGCCATCTCATCGACTGCGAGACGCTGGTCGACGCCAGTGCACTCCAAAGACGGAACTGCGAGGGCACACAGGGAACCCATCCTCGGTCCTGCACGTGGTGTCCGAATGGGCTGGGATGATGCGTGGCACGCTTCTGCTCCCACGCAGAGCTCACTAGTTGCTAGCATGTTGTCCGTGGCACGCCTCTTTCCGGAGAACGCGCCAGGCCGAGAGGTGCCTCCCACGCTGTCAGGAACCTGGGGCCGAGCGGCACAATACTGCTGGTGATGCTGCACTAGAACCCGCACGCGTGCTCAAGTTCTCCAGAATACAATATTTTCTGATGTAGTTCCCGTTCCATACAACGCTTCCTGGAACTCGTGACAGGGAAGGCTCCGCTGATGGAAGAGGCGTAGCAACTCCTTGCAATGATGGGGGAGCGGCAGACCACAACTACCGCTGCTTGGCGAATTTCAGAAGTCACTTGCAATGACATCGGACAGCATGTCGGGCGAGGCCACCGCGGACCTCCTCCCATCTGAGACCTAAGCTGTCGCCTTCCATGCTGTCACCGCAGTGGAATGGGATGGACATGCGAACCGTTCGCTGTGAACCTCTCCTTGCTGACCTCGGTGGGCCAATACCTTTAAACGTACTGGCAAGCTGGATCTCTGCAACTGGCAACCCCAGCGGGAACAGACAAAGCCTGAGGAGCCCGAGAATATATTGAGAGGGGTGTCGAAGATGATGGGCCCCCCAAGAGGGTAAAAAACACAGCCCCCCAGTTGGGGCCAGCAATGCGAATCGCTGAGAGCAGCGCGGGGCTCCTGAGGAGGTTTGCCACCCGCAGCACTCGCCCGTTGTAGCGCTCGAGCAGCGCGACCGCCTCGAGCCAGTCCTGCCGGCCACAGTGTGGGACCTGCCCAAGGTCTGCACCCAGACATGGAGCATCACACGTTTTGTGTCATGACGGCTGGTTCCCATCAAGAGCGTGATATGGAACCTCACGCGCTTTTGTAAACCTTGGTCCTCCCCCAAATACGGTACCGAACATCACACGTTTGTTATATGACTATCGGCCGTCATAACCAGAAAAACGGATGATCTTCCATATGCCCAGGCCACCCGATTGCGCGCCAAGCTCGGGGGCGCGCAAACATGGATTAGCGATCCATGGATTTGGCGCGCGGTCGCCAAATCCATGGATCGGGTGGGGGCCCTCCCCCAGATGTGGCCAGGGCCGCCTCGTTCGGCGGCGGCACTCCGCGATTTCCCATGGAAACAGGACCCGTCGCTAATCCATATACCGACGCCATGCAGACACGAGAAGTAACCATACAAACACATGTGACCCTCGCGTCCACCCCGACAACCCGCACGTCTCGAACCCATGATTGGGGGGCCTGGCCTGCAGCGAAACCTTCACTCCACAAGCAGGGCTGGGTCCACAAGCAAGGCTGATTTGGGTGATCCACGAATGCATTGGTTTGGGCCGGCGAAAATTGTTCACGTTGCCGCCCGTGGCCGCCTCGTGCGCTGGGTGGATCCGCCGAGGTTTCGCCACGTTGCCGTCTCGTGGCCGCCCCGTGCGCTGCGTGGGTCTGACAAGGTTTCGCGACGTTGCCGCCCGTGGCCGCCTCGTGGCCGCCTCGTGCGCTGAGTGGTGGATACGGCGAGGTTTCGCCACGTTGCCGCCTCGTGGCCGCACCGCTCGTATACCACATAGCTCACACCACATGGACTGCACAACATAGCTTGCACCTCGCAATGCACACCACATCAAATACACCACATCGCTTATTCCGCATGGCTTGCATGCCTACACGGCCCCTCTTCCGGTGATTGGGAAGTTCGAGGGGGGGGAGGAGCCAAGGTCTCACTCAATCGATCTCGCTATCGATCTGACTATCGATCTCAGTGTCGATCCCACTATCGATAGCACTATCGAACTCACTCGATCGAACTCAATATCGATACCACTGACGAACTCACTGTCGATCACACTATCGGTCTCACTATCTGTCACACTATCGGTCACGCGATCCATCTCACTCGATCAAACTCATTATCGATCGCACTATCGATTTCACTATCGATATCACCACCCATATCACTATAGATCTCACTATCGATCTCACTATCAATCTCAAGATCGATCTCATTATCGATCTCACTATCGCTCTCATAATCGCTCTCACTACAGCTCACTATCGATCTCACTACAAGACTCCGACAGGACGACGACGGGACACCAGCGGGACACCACGGCGGGACACCAAGGGTCACAGCCTTACAACCATCGGGGGGGTCCTTTGGCCTGGCGCCCAGAGAACCCAGAGGTTTGATTCCTCTCGCCCGCCCGCGCAGCTTCGCCTCGTCCGCACGCACGACACAAACACGAAACCGAAACTGATTTTCCGGTGGAGGTCTATCCGTTTCACTTCGATGTCGCCCCCTTCACCTCCGATTATAGCTCACATCACATAGATTGCACCACAGGGCTTGCATCGCATGGCCTACAACACTGATTGCACTGCATATACATGTACGACCACCCCTCGGGTGATAATGAGAGCGTGCGGTGGACCAATCGATGACTGAGAACGGGACGCCATCGGGACACCACCAAGACACCATCGGAACATCGCGGGCCACAGCGGGACACCAGAAGACACCATTGGGACACCACGGCGGGACACCCACGGCCACCGCTGGACAACCAGGTGGGGTGCTGCTCGGCGGCGCCCTGGCGAAAAGAGAGTCCTTTCCTCTCGCACGCCCACGCAACTTCGCCTCGCCCACGCGCACGACACAAACACGAAACCGAAACCAATTCTTTGTAACGGGGGCTCTCCGTTACACTTTGATTTCACCCTAACAACCTTGGACTTCCCTCCCAGAAGAAAGATCGACTCCACCACCCTCCCCCCTGGGAAACCGACCCCCCGCTCTGGGACACTGCAAACTATAATATATCAATATACGTGAAATATAATAACCAGCTCCATCGTTCACATCTCAATCATGAAATATTACATTGCGAAACATGGTGCAAAGCCAACACGCGTGCACATTTCCAAAAATCATACACACCAAGGATGCAAGCATTCCAAACTAAAAGCACCAAGTGCAACTCAGGCCCGTCAGCACACAATCTGCAGATGTGTTGCCCGTGCACACTTGCTGAAACCACATGACAACAGGATCTCTCGAGCGCGAAATATACCCGTGCCCGTACCCAGGCGGGGTGGCAAGGGGCGGGGAGAGCGACGTGCCGCAGCCGACGGCGGCTGCACAAGTGCAGATGCGACGGCCCATGGGACGTTACAGGACGCTGCCTTCTCCGGGCATCCGCCGGCACCCAAAGCGCGCGCGTTCCAATCGGCAGAGTGGCCGACCACGCATTGGTCGCCCTCGGGCTAGAGTAGGTCGTTCGGAGGTGCGCCCACGAACGCACAATCAAGCTCCCGGGGCTCGACGCGCAAAATGGGTAATGGGTGTCCTGGGCGGGCGCCGCTGCAATCCCGCGCTCGCCCCAAACGCCTGGGGTTCCGAACGCCAGGCGCGGTCGTCAGGGGCTGCTCCCTGGAAAACCCGCCTGGCGTCACCCCAGCTAGGTCCGGCCGGGCACGCGTCGGGGGGCACAGTCGCCGACGCGCGTTGGTGGTGCCCCCGGACACGTACCCGCACCTAGTCGAAGTGCCGTTTGATCGGGATCGCTCTCGGGCGCACGTGCGGCCCCCGAGAGCGCTCCCGAACGCGACCGCAGCGGCCCCCGGGGCAGCGTGAAATTGCAACGGCGCTCCTGCGGGCAGGCCCAAGCGCAACGGAGTGGTGGTGCTTGTCCCCAAATGGGACAGGCACCACAACTCCTTCTACACCCCGCGGACACCCCCGATGCCCACAAACGTCCCTGACGCAGACCAGGGCATGTCGCTGCAATCAAACAACCAGCCGTTCAGCGCGTCGTTGCGTCCCGACGCGCGGATGCTGAACCAGCGCGCGCGGCAGGCTGACCGGGCGCAGTGGCAAGCGCCTCATCCAGCGGACGGCCCTTTTCACCCAGACCGAACCCTGGCCATCGCTCGGACGTCCATTTCCTGTGTGTTTTTTTGGTTTCGTGCGTGTTTTTTTTTGCCAAGTGATCAAGGATGCTCCTCGACGGCCCTCGCCGAGGGAAAAATGCACACGTCCGAGCGATGCCAAGAACCCAGGTAAGGGAATGTTGAGGACCAACGATGATCTGCACAATCCCGCCCAGAATCCGCATTCTCATCTCACCACGCGGTGCATCAATGCATCCATGCTGCGGGCCAAACACACGCGCCGCCGCACGTGCGTGCCGAAATCATCACAAAACCATGGGCGCTCGAGAGATATAAGATAAAGCTCTCTTCCTCCTCCTCCTCCTCCTCCTCCTCCTCCTCCTCCTCCTCCTCTTCCTCCTCCGCCTCCGCCTCCTCCTCCGCCTCTGCCTCCTCCTCTCCTCATCCTCCTCCTCCTCCTCCTCCTCATCCCTCCTCCTCCTCCTCCTCCTCCTCCTCCTCCCCCCTCCTCCTCCTCCTCCTCCTCCTCCTCCTCCTCCTCCGCCTCCTCCTCCTCCTCCTCCTCCTCCGCCTCCCTCCCTCCTCCTCCTCCTCCTCCACCTCCTCCTCCTCCTCCTCCTCCTCCTCCTCCTCCTCCTCCCCTCCTCCTCCTCCTCCTCCTCCTCCTCCTCCTCCTCCCCCCTCCTCCTCCTCCTCCCTCCTCCTCCTCCGCCTCCTCCTCCTCTCCTCCCTCCTCCTCCTCCTCCTCCTCTCCTCCTCCTCCTCCCTCCTCCTCCGCCTCCTCCTCCTCCTCCTCCTCCGCCTCCGCCTCCGCCTCCGCCTCCCTCCTCCTCCTCCTCCTCCTCCTCCTCCTCCTCCTCCTCCTCCTCCGCCTCCTTCGCCTCCTCCGCCTCCTCCTCCTCCTCCTCCTCCTCCTCTCCTCCTCCTCCGCCTCCGCCTCTCCCTCCGCCTCCGCCTCCGCCTCCGCCTCCGCCTCCGCCTCCTCCTCCTCCTCCTCCGCCTCCTCCTCCTCCTCCTCCCGCCTCCTCCTCCTCTTCCTCCTCCTCCTCCTCCTCCTTCTCCTCCTCCTCTCTTCAACAGTATGTTTGTATGTATATGTATGTATATATGATTGTACATGCGTGTGTACGCATGTACGTACACATATTTGAAGTAAGACACATGTTTCTCCACAAGACGGTTGCAAGCCAAGCCGCGTGCGCTCTCCGCGCGCGCACTTCTTCGCCGTTTCCTCACCAATGCCGCCGCATCGCCTACTTCTATCATAATCGCCGCCATTGCCGCCATCATCAATGAATCACCGTAATCACCGACACATGGACATACAGACTCATCGCCATCGTCGTCACCTACATACCTACATCGGCGCCTTCGTTTGTCGTGCCGTCGTCAACTCCATCGCCACCACCACCATCGCTACTATCATCCCAATGCTGCCGTCGTCGACGTCATCATGACACCGAGCCCGCCTGAGTCAGCGACCCCCACGGAAGTACCCGTGCGCCAGTGCGGCATCTGAGACGCGCTGGGATTTGCCCGTCGGAAAGTGCAATCGTGGCCGCGATAATTGTGCAAACCAGTTGGCCGCTCCAGACGCGAACTTGCGCGCGCTAGGGCAACTGCAGAGACGCGCCAGCCAGCGCCAAGTAGGTGCCGCAATCGCGGCCGCTTGGGTTGTGCAAAACAAGTCGCGGGTGGAAGAGTGGGATGATTGCGTGACGACATCAAGTTCTGGAAGGTGAACCCCATCCCGTAGATTTCGCAACATAGCTTACACACACACACACATCGCTCGCACCACCTATGTTGCACCACATGTATTGCGACACCTAGCTTACAACTCACAGCTCAAACCACATAGATGACACTGCATAGCTCACACGTCCACAGTAGAACATCTCACTGCTTCAGGTGCGCACCGGCGAACATTTAGCCATTCGTGTGCTCGTCCATGCCCGCGCGTGCAGCGCATCTGCCACCTCTGCACCGCCATCGTTGCGCCACAGCCTTCGAGAACCATCCCGTGAGTGTGTGTGTGTGTGTGTGCATGCACGCATGCGCTGAACGTACATGCGTCATTGACGGACGCTCTCGTCGCGTGTATCCCAACCGTATGCCGCAGGGGAATGTCCAGCATGCACAGGCGCCCAAACAGAGCAGGGAGCGGTAGAGACTCGCCAAAGGAGCTATCGATAGTACTGCCACGGAGAGATTGTTAGGGAAGGGAGAATACCGTGGGACACAATATGACATCCCCGAACACAAAAGGGCCATGAGCTGATGTCCTCAAAGCCCATCTCGCCCAGCTCTCTCAGCTGCGCGCCAAACTTGAAGCGTATTATCTTTCCCCATCCGCTGCCGAGGCTGAGTAGACCATGAAGAGCAAGCTAAGCCGCAGAGCAACGGAGCGATGCGTCGGGACGCTGTGCAGGCGTCGTGCGGGGATGGGAAAGGAAAGGCAGTGAAGGATCGGTGCCATTTCAGGGCAGGGATGATGAGAGAGAAGAACTGATCAAGCAATTCCACCAAGCACCTAGACCACCAACAGCAACGACAAGAGGACGTGCTGGGCCTTCTTGAAGCGTCCCGACTTTAGATCCATGGCATCTTGATCGCTCTTTGGAATACTCCCACGGACAACTTCCGTAGTGATCCCTCTGCTTCAAGTCGTCAAATCGGTGCAGTGCGAAGCTGTGCAGTGCCTCGGCATGCCTCTTTATGGCGTGCTATGCTACAAAAGACTCCTTTTCGCTGCTACGGAATGATGTGGTACGATCTGCAGTGTGACGCTGTGCTGTTCCACTCTGTGTCATGTGGTCTGCAAGCCTATGTGCCCCTGCGCCACGCTATGCCACGCTATGCGGTGGCGAGATGTACTACGCTATGCCTTGCTATGCCATACAAGCACGTGCAATGCTACGCAGCGCAGTGCCATACCATGCCTAATTTCGCCAGGCTACGCTACTATGCGCGATGTTGCAATGGTGCTATGCAATGCGTTGTTAGGCATTAGGTTCGTCAGAACCCTTTGTACAGAACTTCCTGCGCATGCATGTTGCAAAACAGTACCTCTTGTCAGGGTCGCTGGGGGTTCTGTGAGCGGCTGCTCCCCATGATGTTCGGCTCAAGATGGCCTCAGGAGTGCGTACAGGGGGCCCCATGTGGCCCAAGAAAGGCCAGGGAACTTCGCACGACGGATCCTCGAGGGCCCTGAGCCATGCCAAGAGGGCTTCAGAAGAGTCCCGCAGAAGGCCACCGGATGTGGCGCCAGCCAGCCGACAACATGGTGGCCCCACGTGGCACTACTGCTGGGGATACGTCGACCCCTATAGCAGGCTTCGTGGGGCTTTCGAATGAACCAGAAATTTGGGGCCCAACCCTGGGATGTACGATGGGGGGGGGCGCCCATACTCGAAAGAGGTGCGTCCGAATAGCCCCCTTGGGGTGTGTCTCAGGGTTCCCCTACCTTTCTGAGGAGCTCAATTTTTCGTCGAAGGTCAAGGGTTGGGGGATAAAACATCACCTGCGACAAGCAATCTGAACACAAACTCCGGCCAACCCTTCCAGACAAGGAAAATGCGCGCCAGAAGCGAGCTCGAACGTTCGGACTGAACATCTTGGCGGCAGCTCTTGCTTGCAGCAGAATGAACTTCCTGGCAAGGCTTTGAAATGACGAACTCACAGGTCGCCCGCTCCGAAACCCTGGATCACAACAATGTATCACCTCTCGGGAGGGCATCTTTCACTTCCACAGGCCTTCTGGCGACTTCCGCTGCGCGCTGGCGAATCCGCCTTCGCCTCAACTCCACCGCCTGTCGCTGGCCTTCCACCGACGAAGATACGTCATTCTCTCGATCACTCGAAGGCACGGCCCTCCCTGGAACGTCCAGCGGAAGTTGCCACGCGGAGCTTTCCGCGTGAGGCTTCCACACGTGCACACGCACATGCCTGCCACGGCACTCTGCAGCGGCGTGGGCTGGGCCCGGATCCTCGTGGTTGCCTCGACCCTTGCGGAGCCATTCCTGCCCCCGTCAGAGATGAAGGGGCCCCAGGACACACAAATAAATACACACAAATAAGTATATTCCCATCTCTTCTGGGTTTCTGTCCTCCCCCCCACTGCCCCTATTTCCCCATCTTCTCTGGGGAGTCGAGGATTCATTGTGTCTGTGTATTTCTTTCCCTCCTGAAGAGAGCTCGCAGCATTCGTAGAGGAGGAGGAGGAGCAGGAGGAGGAGGAGGAGCAGGAGGAGGAGAAGGAGGAGCAGGAGGAGGATTCGTCCTCCTCCTCCTGCTCCTCCTCCTCCTCCTGCTCCTCCTCCTGCTCCTCCATTACTGCCATTCGTAGATCGACACCCCACGCCACCGACTGCCGCGCAGCGCACCGCACGGCGCGCGCGGCTGCCTCCGTGCCCCCTCGCGCTGCTGCCCTGGAGACGGGCGGAACTCTCTGGCCCAGGCCGCAGCGCGCGCGCGAGACGCTTGCCGTCCAGCCTGCCCGCGGTCGACAGAGCATGCCGGGTCCCCAGGAGAGCCCAGAATCGAATCGATAACTCGGATCGGCGATCGGAATGAATCGGATCGGCAGAAATCGGCGGCCGGGTCGGGAAAAGTCGAATCGGCAGAAATCGGCAGGCTAGTATGCCTCCAAGAAGGAATCGGAACCCAAATCGGAATCCCAAGTCGGATCGAATCGGAATCGGAAGCAATCGAAATCGAATCGAATCGAATCGGAGGAATCGAAATGAGCCCTGGGTCCCTGCTTTCCACGCTCCTCTCTCAGGGCGCGTTCTGACCAGATCTCAGGGCGACTCCAGCGGTGGCGACGAGGGCCTCCCAGGAGGCCCAACGAGGGAAAAACCAGGCAAGGACAGCAGCATCATTACAGCCGGAACTGGGACAAGAGAACTTCCTTCAAGAACATGAGACCCTCCGCCTGCCGAAGCGAGGGTGCCCTCCCCCAGGATGCACAAAACCATCCAGCAAGCACGAAAAAATCAGGGACCCTCGCCGAACCGACCTCGATCTTGTACACCGGGAATTTTAATTAAGAAAACTTTAACCTAAGAAACTTTAACGGAACGGAACGGGACGGGAACGGAAGGAACGACCGTCAATTCAAGCATACCAAAAGCAACCCATTCCGGTTCCGACGGCGATGCACAATGTCAATCAATTGAAATGCACATGATGCCAATCAATTCAAATGCTCAGATGCCCCCCTCCTCCTCCGCCTCCTCCTCCTCCGCCTCCTGCTCAGATGCTCTCCTCCTCCGCCTCCTCCTCCTTCTTCTTGTTTTGTTTCGGCGTCTATCTTACATACTTAAGAAAATCTCAATAGTCTACCCTGGAACTCAGATTTTCTTAAATAGGGTTAAGAAAATCCAGACCCTGGCTCCGAAGTTGCTTTTTCTTAATTATCCTGTAGGGTGTACGTCGGTCCGACCGTACCTTGTCCTCCTCTGATCAAGCGGCCCCAGCCAGCAGACGACCATACACGGACAAGGGTTAAGTCGGGCCTGTCCCCCTACAGGGGGGATTGTCGAGGAAAAGCTAAACGTAGCCAACACAAATACTCAAACACGGCAAAACACATGCTCACAGCATCCTCCCCAGACTATCTTTGTTGCCGATGCTTGCATGTTCCTCCTGTGGAGGGACAGACCCGACTTCAGACGAGGGACTTCCTTTGTGATGCCGCGGGCCCCGCCCCCCCGGGGTCCACTGCCGCGGGCCTGCCGCCGGCGCGGACGGGAGGGGGCGCCGGGCGAGGGGGGGGCGGGCCTCGGAGGCGGCATGGGGGCCTCGCTCGGAAGCACGCCCGCCTCCCGAGGCACGGCCGAACATAGGCGACGCGAGCAAGAGAACGCATCGCGTAGGGTTGAGTCGGGCGTGTCCCCCTACAGGGGGATTTTTCGACGAAAAACACAAAATACTCCAGACATGCTCCCAAATGGTCAAAAAATACTATAAAAAAAGTCCCCAGACTATGTTTTAACTATTGTTCAATGTTCCCCCTGTAGAGGGACAAGCCCGACTTAAGCGTAGGGCATCGGGTACCTTTTAGAGACTCGAGCTCTATACACCGACGCGTCTTCGGGCCCTGCATTGGAATTTGCGCCAGAGTGCGGATCCTGGTGCGTACGGGACCTTGGTGCATACATGTTTCCATGTTCCCTCGGGACATCGGGACAAACAAGTATACACCACACCACCCCAGCGACGTCCTCGACCGTCGCGAAGTCCTGGGATTGAAAAACAGCCCGCCCGTGTACAGTCGGGGCGTTGACCTGAGGAACCCTAAATAAGGAACGAGGCCCCTTTTTTCCATAAGTTAACCTTCGATTTCCTGTCGAAGACACAAGGAAAGCCTGAGGCAAGATGCGAAACACTTAAGGAACGCGGAGCCCCTCCCCAACGAAAAGGGTTCCTTCTTCAGGGCCCCGACTGTACATGTCCCAGTCTCCGACCTTTCCCTCTTCACTGGAGCTCACCCTTTTTCTGCCGCGGGCCCCCCCTGGGTCCACTGCCGCAGGCCTGCCGCCGGCGCGGACAAGGGCGGGGGGCGAGGGGGGCAGGCTTCGAAGGCGGCAAGGGGCCTCTCGGAAGCCCTCCTCCTCCTCCTCCTTCTCCTCGTCCTTCTCGTCGTCCTCCTTCTCCTGCTCCTGCTCCTCCTCCTCCTGCTCCTCCTCCTGTTCCTCCTCCTCCTCCTGCTTCTCCTCCTCCTCCTCCTCCTCCTGGGAAGGGGGAGGGGGAGGGACAGTGAGCAGGGAGGAGAGGAGAGGAGCCGGGGCCAGGGGCGGGGGAGCGGGAGCGGGGGACCAGGGGCAAGGGGGCCTCTCGGAGGCCCTCCTCTGGCGGCACGCGCAGAGGGGGGCAGGGGAGGGGCGAAGACATCTTAGGAGGAGGCTACTTCATTAGAGGCCGCCTAGATGGGGTCGGAGTAGATGGGGTCGGAGGATCGCGTCGCATCGCCGATGCATCGGCGATACATCGGCGATGCATCTGCGATGCATCGGCGATGCACCGGCGATGCATCGTCGATTTCGGCGATGCATCGGCGACGTTGACGCGAAGCAAATCGGGCTGCACATCGAGCCGCATTGGCGATGCATTGGCGATGCGGCTCGAACCTCCGACCCCATCTGCTCCGACCCCATCTAGGAGGCCTAGATTCATAGAGGGCGCCGGCCTTACATTTATAGGGAAGGCCTGCGCCTTCTAAGAAGCAGGGGTGCTTCGAAGAAGCCTCCCCCCTTCCCTTACCCCCCTCTGCGCGTGGCCTACTCCTGCCTCCCGCGGTACAGCCGACAACATGATCACGAAAACCATCATGTAAGAAATCGGGGCCAACATCCCGGAAGCTTCTTGACACAGGCCTGGGCAAATTTCTGTTGTTGACGCTGGAACGGCGGACGTGCCAAAGAACCTTGGCAGGCGTTCCAGCAAATTGATTACAAGAGACGACGGTCTCACTTTGCGGGAGAAAGTTTGTGATTCAAATGCTCGACCGTGCCTTCTCGGGAGCCTCCCATCCCTTCTCCGAAAAACAGCCTCCTGCGTCCTCAGACGGTCTCTCCCCTCGCCCCGCTCCCGTGTGCGCGCTGCCGAGATGGCGCAGGCTGCACGGAGCGGCCCGCCTTCGATCACGTGGGTCATCCGGCCTACTCGTCGTCGCCGTCCTCCTCGACCGCAGCGGCCTGCACTGCCACGGTGTCCAGCTCACGCTGGCCCTCCTTCGTGATCTTCCGGCCGCCGTTCTCATCCTGCTCCACGAGGCCCATCTCCTCCAGCTGCTGCAGGACGTACCTTTCGAACAGAAAACGACAGCCGTACGGCACGCCCATCCCTGGCAACGACCTTCATGGACCCCGGGGTGGTGTAGACACCCCCCTGGCCTCGACCAGGCGGGTCCATACACCATCCTGACGTCCAGGATGGCCCTGGCGCCAAGGATGGAGGTGTACAGCTGCCCTCCCTCAACACCTGGCGATCTTTCCGGACCCCTTGCTGAAGACGTTGGTGCAGACGCCACGACGCTTCTGCCCCCCATAGACCTTGCGGAAACCGCCCACGCCAGTGCCTCCGCGGATGTAGATCTTCCTCACCATCGAGGCGGTGCGGACGTAGAGCCAGTCGGGGTCGAGAGGCGGCAGCTCCTTGTGCTTGCTGGTCTTCACAACGTCCGACCACTTGGGGATCTCGAACCTGCCCTGGCGCTTGAGGTGCTCAGCGAAGGCCTTGATGAAGGCTGGCGCGTCAACGTCCTTCACCGTGACGATGGCGGTGGATGCCTGCTCCTTGAAGTAGTCGTCGTACGCGCCACCGGACATAGCTCGGGACGTCGGCTGCTGCGCGGCGACGTTGAAGAAATGCGCCCTTCCGAATGCCACGATGGCTCGAGCCAGAGCGATGTTGAGGGCCCACGAGCAGAAAACCCAGAACACAGACCCTGATTGAAAGGCCGATGCCTTCCGCCCCTCTTCGTCGAGGGTGCCTTCCAAGGGCATCATGCGGCGGTCCGCGGGCTGCCCCAGGACGGCCTCCGGGCCGCCCCAGGACGGCGCTCCAGCGGCCCAGGATCGGGCGTTGGCAGAACTGGGTTTGCTGGGACCTGGCTTAGCGATGTCTACCGGGGGACGCCCCCCGCCCGTTCCGCTAACCGTAGGTGGCCACATGCGAACCCTACCACCACCACCCACGATTCCTACGGGGGGGGGGGGTTCGCTCCGCTCGGGAGCTCCCGAACGAAGGGGTGGGGGTAGGGTTCGCATGTGGCCACCGACACCGGAGAACTGCCGTCACCCGAAAGAACACCAGCTGCGGCGGACCGGGTTCAGTGACTCTGGCGAATTCCGGGGCTCCAGGGCCCTACTGCTGACCGGGTCCCCTTACTCCAGATTTCGTAATAGAAGGGAGGGGGTCTGGACCCTCCAAGACAAGCCATTCCAGACCTCCCCTCGTGGGAGAACCCTCCGAAGCCTCGTCCCCAGACCCCCCCAGGCCCTCCAAGATACCCTGGAAGAGACCCCCCCCCAGAAATGAGACCCCCCTCCCTTTATTACGAAATCTGGAGTATTCGCACGCGCCGGCGCCCGAGCTCGCTGCCGACCCACCAAAGAGACGCACGCTTTGCCCCCTGCTGCATCCCTCCCCCCCCGCCTGCGAGGAGGAGGAGGAGGAGGAAGGAGGAGGAGGAGGAGATGGAAGAGGAGGAGGAGGAGGAGGAGGAGGAGAGGAGGAAGGAGGAGGAGGAGGAGGAGGAGGAGGAGGAGGAGGAGGACCTGTGGTCCTGGCCATACCCGACGGGGATGCTCCTCGAGAGGCTCCCCGGCGGAGAGAGGCGAGGGGCCCGTCTGCTCTGGGGCGGGCGCCCACGGCGCCCCGAGGCGGCAGCCGAGGCGGGGTTCGGGGAGTCGTCCAGGTGGGATGGGGCCCAGGGGGCGGATGTGCTTGCCTGTCGCCCTCCCTCCTCCTCCTCCTCCTCCTCCTCCTCCTCCTCCTCCTCCTCCTCCTCCTCCTCCTCCTCCTCCTCCCTCCTCTCCTCCTCCTCCTCCTCCTCCTCCTCCCTCCTCCTCCTCCTCCTCCTCCTCCTCCTCCTCTCCTCCTCCTCCTCCTCCCCTCCTCCTCCTCCTCCTCCTCCTCCTCCTCCTCCTCCTCCTCCTCCTCCTCCTCCTCCTCCTCCTCCTCCTCCTCCTCCTCCTCCTCCTCCTCCTCCCTCCTCCTCCTCCTCCTCCTCCTCCTCCTCCTCCTCCTCCTCCACCTCCTCCTCCTCCTCCTCCTCCTCCGCCTCCTCCTCCTCCTCCTCCTCCTCCTCCCCTCTCCTCTCCTCCTCCTCCTCCTCCTCCTCCTCCTCCTCCTCCTCCTCCTCCTCCTTCTCCTCTTCCTCCTCTTCCTCCTCCTCCTCCACCACTCATCCCGCTGTCTTTAAATTTCGCCTCCGGTGGGTGGTGGCATTCGCATTTGGGCACCGGCTGTGCAAGCATCTTGTCCGCTCCCACCTTCTCCCTCCGAGGAAAGGGCCAAAGGGCGGAGTGGGAGAGAGTCGCCCTGGCCGGCCGCTGGAAGACAGGAGTGTGAGCCTCCAGCTGGGTGCGCTCCTTCGGTCGGGAGCTGTTGCTCAGCGTGTCGCAGCGGCGGCCCTGGCGACACGTCGTGCCTTGCCACGCGGGTGACGTGTCGCTCCGCTCTGCGGGGCGGGAGGCCCGGAAAGGCTCGGGACGTTGACGCTTTGGGACTGGGCTGCCTGTTAGGCCGCGGGGCCCCGGAAGACTGTTGGGATCTCATGCCGATTTGTGAGCTTCAGATGCATCTCGCACCCCTTGTAATCTAGGCCAAGAATGGGCCAGCGTCTGAAAATCGCATTTCGCCAGAGACGTCCTCCAAAAAAATCAAACCACCTTCCAAAGCGATCTGAAAATTGCCATGCCATCTGACACTGGCGATGCCGCTTGGGACTTCCTCGGAACAAAACATGTCAGATCGAACCTCAGGCCGCCGGAAGGGTGGCGATTGGGGCTGGAACTTCCCCAAAAAGCATCTTCGGGCCGCGCTCGGGGCTTTCCGTTTCCCTGGGGGTGCGCGCGCGATCCGCAACAGGACTTCCCGCTGCAGTGCTCACCGCCCTGCGGTGTCGCCCCGTCGTCAGGGGTGCACGGGCCTGTCTTTTGGAGTCCTCTCGGGGTCGGTCGAAGTGAAGGGGCCCCAGGACACACAAATAAATACACACAAATAAGCATATTCCCCATATCCTCCCATATTTTCTGGGTTTTTGTCTTCCCCCCCCACTTCCCGTAGTTTCCCATATTTTCTTGGGGAATCGACGATTAATTGTGTCTGTGTGTTTTTTCCGCTCCTGACTTTTGGAGTCCTCTCGGGGCCGGTCGAAGGTCGACGCTCGAAGGCTGAACTCGGCAGGGGGAGGGCCCAGGGCGCGGCCGCCCCGCAGCGTCCCGACCACCACTTTTGATCCAAGGGGGTGGTAGACTGAAGGGGCCCAGGGACACACAAATAAGTAGACACAAATAGCAATAGTCCCTACATCTTCCTATATGTTCTCGGTTGTTGTCTTCTCCCCTACTTCCCATCTGTTCCCCTATTTTCTGGGGGATCGACGATGAATTGTGTATGTGTGCTTTTTGTTGTCTCCTGATAGAGCTCAAGAGACGCGAGTCGAGAAACACTATTTCACGTGTGCCCTTCGCTTTATGACTTTGACCTGCAAAGGGTGAAGTTGGCGGACTTCCTCGATCAACCCAACAGCTTCTGACATGTTCACCGATCTAATATTGGGATCGTCGCAATCATGAGTCTTCACAGCCCCCATCGGAATGCAAAGTCTCGAATTATTATTATTCGCCCGCGTAACGGATCTCATGGAGGCCGACAAGACCCTCTCCCTGACCCGAGCGAGGCAATTGGTATGCCCTCCATCAAGGGCCTCGTCATCAATGATGATGAGTGTAGGCCAATTCAACTCTCGAGGTACATTGAACGTGCCATCCATGTTACACTTTATCAGGTCCTTTACGGACACGCTCACATTCACGCAGTCATAACCAGCACAATCAGAATTGAGGCAAGGCTAACAAAGTCCAAGAAACTCTGCATAGTCTGTATGGCCGTGGTCACTCACAAGTTGTCCTACCCAAGGCAGCCCAAGGGCAAGCGCGTAGGACAAACTCTTACGGTACTTCATGTTGCAAGAGGCTCCCCACACCCTCTTTGCACCCTCTCCTCCTCATGGGCACGACAGCAATAGAGATGTTGCTCCTGTGGAAGCTTCCTAAGCCTCTGATAATGCGCAACTCGCGCATCAAAGATGCCAGGACAGACGGCGAGAGGTTCGCGACTGATGCCAGCTCGGATGACGAGACATTCACGCTCGCGTCGGGCTGATTACTCTGGCTGCCCAGTGTCAGCTTCAGAGCGTACACACCTGACACGAGAACGGCTAACCATTAAAAGGTAAAGCGAGTACGAAGGCCGATCGACGTGCTGTCTATATGACTGGAGGTTCAATCACCAGCGCTGTGCCTTCAATCAGTCAAGTGACTTGAGCCAGAATGGTTAGGCAAGTGCAACTTGGAGTCGCGTGCGTGATGTTGCACTGGACGCATCAACGAGTGTGCTTGAGCGAGCCAAAGTCCATGTGTGCACACGTGTGCTGGGACTCCCGCGTCGGAACAAGCATGCACATCGTGAACCCATCGGAACGCGCACGCTCAAATGCAACGCTCGTGCAGTATACATCGATTTGCAAGGGAGTAGGCTCCGAGAGTACTGCAGACCGCTATGGAGAAAACATGTGGTGTCCTTCTTGGCTGTGACCGCAGCTGGCTCTGGCGACATACCCAGCGCGACGAGGCGCTCAAACACGCCCACCAGCTCGCTCCCTTTGACCTCTTCCAGCGAGCCCTCCTAGCAGGGGGTCAACCCGCTCAAACTCTACTCTCTCTCTCTCTCTCTCTTCCTCCTGGCTCCCTACCTCCTTCCCTCTGCATCTGCAGCCCCCTCCCCCAGCGTTGTTGGTTGAGTCTCCCTGCACCTCTGCTCCCAACACTTCCGATCTCTCTCTCTCTCTCTCTCTTTCTCACCCCTCAGCACACCTCACCTTGCACCAGCCCCCCCCCGGTGTCTCCGTGCTCATCGTCCTGATCCATACTGAGGCCCTCTAAACTCCTCGTGTCCTTCGTCCACGCCCGTATCCCATGCGGGGGGGCGGCTTGAACGCATGTACCAGGGTAGAAGTAAGCTCCTTTGCATCTTTACATTAGCATTTGGATTTCTGATAGAGGCTACAGTTCGTTATCACACATGTCATGTCTTCTTGTCCCCGCCTCTCCTAACATTACAAAAACTTCCTCCTGGTGATCCTTAATATGCCTTCGATGCTCCACCTCCTCCTCCTCCTCCGCCTCCTCCTCTTACTCCTCTCTTGCTGGTTTCAAGCTCCACTGCTACTGCTGATGCAGCTCATCCTCCTCCTTTTTCTCCTCGTCGTCCTCCTCCCCCCGCCACCGCCGCTGCCTCCCCTCTTCCTCTCCCGCATCAAAGAGATCCCCCTGCGGGCGTTTCGCAAAGCGAGCTTAGCGTGCAGTCAAGTATGGCACTGCGCTCAGTAAGGCCCGGGCAGAGCTCTCTCATCAACTGCTGGCCAACATCCCCGCGCCACTACGCCTTTCCCACTTTGCACTCAGACTCATCTGGTATCCTCCTAGCTATGGGGCTGGAGTAAGGATGAATGTCACACGTGCGGCATCAGGAGCGTAACTAATGCACAAGACGTGTGTCCTCCACCGCCGAAGTTGCAACCCATTCGGACCACTTAGGATCTTGGCTCATTGCGTCTCTCCCGCGCCTGCTGCTTCACGGTGGTTTGCCGCGGGTAGGGCTGACTCTAGCAACCGTACCAACGTGATTCATCGTGGGCTACAATCATCGTGCAACACGGCGCAGGGCAGTCACATCCGCGTACAACTCTGCTGGAGCCTCTAGGGCCCCTCCCCGAACTCTTCCTTGGCTGTCACCATCGCTGGCGCGATCCGCCACGGTCCGCCGAGAGACGAGCTGGGGTGTCCCCAGGTCCCTCGAGCCAACATTCCCCAAAGACAGAATCGTCTAGGACACGGGCCGCAAATTCTGGATCTCCCGAGGGGTCCGCGAACCGGGGCGCGTTCCCGCGTGGCTTTCCCTTCGGAGGCAACGACTCCGCTTTCTGAGAAGGCATTATCCTTCTCATTTCGCCCCCTCGCTCGCCGCCGAACGAAGTCCCCAGTACGGGCCAAGAGGGCCCCAAGAGGCCCCTGAGACGGTCCACGAGGGCCCTAGGTCGGCCTCAGAACGCTCCATGATGCCCAGAATGGCTCAAGACCGCCCAGGGAGTCCCCCAAGACGCCACGAGAAGACCCCAAGAGGCCAGCCAGAGGGCCCCAAGATGCCCAGATCATTGGACGCATTCTTGGACGGATGTTGGACTGATGATTTCACTAAGGTTTTGCACGAATTCAGGGCGCTATCGCCCTCTCGGGTTTTCGACACACCAAGACGGCCCAAGAGGCTCCCAGGACGACCCCCAGACGGCCAAAGAGGGCCCTGAGACGGCCAACGAGGCCCCCGAGACGACCCCCAGACGGCCCAAATGGCCCTGAGACGGCCAACGAGGCCCCCAAGAGGACCCCCAGACGGCCCAAGAGGGCCCTGAGACGGCCCAAGAAGCCAACAAGACGTCCCAAGACGACCCCAAGAGGGGGAACACAAACCGACATTTCGAGACACCCGGGACCACCAGCAGGCCTCCGAGAGCACCCCAGAAGCTCCAGGAAGCCCCCTAAAACATCCAGATCAGGCCCCAAGAAGCCCGCAAGAGGCTCCCGAGAGGCCCTCAATACACACCAAAACCGCCTCCAAGAGGCTTCTGAGAAGCCTCCGACGAGATCCCCTCAGGCACCCAAGAAGGAACGACCAAGGCGCGGTGGCGGGATAGGCGGAGGGCCAGTAAGAAGAATACTCTGACGGCATGCGACCCAAAGGGCAACCTTCATATACCTATGCTTTGGCATTCTAGTTGGTCCAATGTCGCGCATGGGCGTGCCATGCTGTGGTGCCGTGCCGCGCCATGGGGCAATGGAATCCGTGCGTTGGCCTCGACTACGCGCAAGCGTGACCCTGGGCAAAAGTGACCTGGGTAAGAGTGAGCCATAACATAAACACTCAGAGGTCCGCGCGGATTTCTCGGATCGGCGCTCGACCCCAAAAAACCGTTTGGCGCTGCGCGCGGATCTCTTGGATCTGCGCTGGACACCCCCTGGCGCGCAGAGCGGGCCAGGGGCGGCGCTGGAGGCGCCGCCAGGGAGGCCCAGCGCGGACCCAAGGAATCCGTGCGCATCGCCTGAAGGATTATGTTTATCGCGTCGGTTCTGTTGTTTGACTTCTCCCGCTGGCCTTCCGCCGCCTTCCGCCAAGAAGGACATGTGACAATTCCTTCGATCCGCAAGGCGAAATCCTGCCTGGAACGCCTCACACGAAGCCCCCGCCAGCTCCCTCACGCTTCGACGGCGATGCTCCTGTATGCCACGCCTCGCATGCAGCCCTCAGAGGGGGAGGAGGAGGAGGAGGAGGAGGAGGAGGAGGAGGAGGAGGAGGAGGAGG